AGTGACTTCGCTGCTCGTCGCCGATCTTCATACATTCTGAAATGCCATTTCGAGGCGAGCTGTGAAAAGCCTAGACGAATACAATCAACTTAACTTACTCTTCTCCCGACTGGTATATAGATTGGAATCACGCAGCCTATGTTCGTTTCCTTAACAATTTCCACTTAGTTCCTCGATTTACAGAAGCTCAGAGCACAACATTCAGCTCTCAAATGCGTTTTTGTAATCGATGAATAGGATACAAAGTGGGAATTGATACTCCTTTGCGCGCTCCAGAAGCTGGTTTAGAGCGAAAATATGGTCCATCGTGCTGTAATTACTTCGGAATCCAGCTTGCTACCTCAATTCATTGAGGAGTTCTGTTAGTAGGTTAGTGATAATAATCGTGAGGAGCTTGTAATATGGAAGAGAAAGCAGATCAGGCGGTTGTAATATGGAAGAGAAAGCAGATCAGGCGGTGCCATTTTAAGACATCATATATATGCATATGTATAATATATACACATATGCAAAGTCTAGGCATATATATGCTAAGTTTTAAAAAAATATACATACAGGCTTGTTTTAAAAAATCATACAGGGAGTGAAAAATATGTATATATGAGTTTCTGTGGCACATAGTGAATCATATCAGCGACGTGGCGAAAAAGACAGGGAGGACCGGTTTTTTGTCTCGGTGAAAAGCGCCAAGTAAAAAAAAAGAATCTAAAACTCGACACAAAAAGCACCGCGCTTAGACCGACGGCATGAACGAATAAACGACCAAAAACGATAGATTTGGCGCTAAAATTCTACAACATGCTATTATTAAAGCAAGTCAAGCGTAAGGATGAAAAAGACGTCAACTGAACGGAAATATTTAAATTGGGACAAAAGTTTTCCTCACTTTTACACTCTTTGCTGAAGCCAGAAAGTAAGACTCCTATCTCACATATGACACCGAAAGTAACAGAAAATTATAACTAATATAAAAATCAAGAAATGAACTTCAGTAAAACAATAAAAAACTCTATAAATACCCTTTTGTTGCCCGTTTTAGCCGAAGCCCTATCGTTTCCTTCACCGACCTGCCCGTATCAAGACCCTGTTTTTCTCATGAAACACCTAGTTGATTAGTGGAGTTCAGATATCAAAACTCTGTTCGCCTGGAAGCCACAGTGTCCTCAAAATCGGTACAATATTTACATCGTGCTGTTGTGGACCCATAAGGAAGGCAAGTGTGCCCAATACACTCACAACATCCTGTATGAAACCAACGTAACATCGAGGCGCCCAAGATCTGCAATATGACGAAACAGTAGTATAACAAAAAAGAAAATTAGCTTTATTAATTCCGCCAATTAAAAAAAACAGGTTGGGAGCTTCAGATTTTCCTGGACCTGATTTTCACCATCTAATATGAAGTACAGCGAGCAAAAGATGGCGCGCAGAAGGAGCAAAGAGCAATCCAGAATCGCGCAGAAGGAGCAAAGAGCAATCCAGAATCGCGCAGCAGATTGACTCTGTAAATTTGTTGTAAAATTCAGTGTTCAGTATTCGATGCCCAGTGTCCAATTGCAGCAGTGTGTTGCCGCACTCCAGTGATCAGCAATCTCCATCGGCAGCGGTTGCCGCTGCAATCGTCCGACTTGATCCCGCCGCCTCAAGTACTCAACCGTGAACTTGTATTGCTGTTGATAAAGTTCGTTTTGTTTACTCCAGTCTCTCCACTAAGCGCATACAGCACATCGGCGTTCATCCAAGTCTCGTCGTACGCTCGTCCGAATAATCTGCGGAACATTCGTCGTAACGTCGTCTCCTCATCGTAACAATGAACAACAAAAAACCCGACACGACCATGGCCATCAAAACATGCTGACATTTCCATCACTTTCTCCCGGAAACGTTAAAAGGTACAAAAGTTACCGTCTAAAAAGTAGTCCCCTGGAGGAAAAAACACTTGCACCGAGAAGCAGCAATAGTCTGTTAGCAAACAAAATAATTTGGCTTAGTGGAAAGCACTGAACGTTGAGGACTAGAAAAACCTTAGAAATTACAAAACTTCGAACATAGTGGTGAACTCACAAGACATTGCCGACTGCACTGCTTTTGCGACATACATTTGTCCAGATAGACCACCGTACAATTTGTTCCGTGATGTGATCTACTCAGCATTTTCATATTTTCACCTGAAAAAGGCTCATAATTATATGGGTGCCCAAGTGGCGCCAAGTTGACATCAAAATACCAACTCACTATAAATACATTCTTCGAGTAGTAGTGCCGAACAGGGTACAAATAAACCGTCACGTTTGAAATGCC